CGTCTTATGCTCCTTAAGGACCTGCACAGTTTCTCTTCTTGCGATGCACTAAGTTTGCTAGAGATGATCACCGGTAACGTTTCTTTGTCTCCAAGGAACACGTACTTGAGGTAGCTGGGGAGGGGCTTCATTCGGAATGGGGGCCTGTAAAACAGAGGGTAAAGGCCTCTCATCAGAAATTGGTAATGCCATAAAAGAACGTTACCTACTGCTGTAACTTTGGAGAATCGTCAAAGCTGCAACAGTTTCCTGCAAATCAGAACTCCAGCTAATTCCTCATCCTCTTTCTCAAGATGCTCACTAATGGCAACTTCCATCCATCTTCTCTGCAAGTTCAAAAACTTCCTGTGCTAAAGATCAATCACATCAATAGAATAACCATGATTATCATCATCATCAGATATTTCATGGCATCATAAATATTAAACTTGACAATTTCACCATCAAATTCCATGGTGAGTATACCACTATGAACATCTATCTTAGTTCTGGGATGTTTTAAGAATGGTCTTCCTAACAAAATAGGGGCAGTTTTGATCACCATTTTCCATATCAAGCACATAGAAATCAGTAGGGAAGACTAAGCCATTATTTGAACCAAAATATCTTCAACTACTCCCTTAGGATAGCATTAGTCTATCAGCTAATTGAATCACCACACCAGTTTTATTCAAGCTCAAGTTTCAAAGAAGCATAATAGAGTATGCATGACATTTATAGAAGCTCCTAAGTCTATCATGGCCTTCTCAAACCTAGTGTTACCTATAGTACAAGGGATAGTAAACGTACCTGGATCCGGCACTTCGCTGGGAGTTTTCTCTGAATCACAGCAGAAACATCTCTCCCACTCTGACCTTTTCACACCCCTTAAGTTTCTGTTTCCTCTTATTGTACACAGTTCCTTCAAAAATTTGGCATAACGGGTACTTGTTTGATAGCATCTAAAGTGGAATATTTACCTCGCATCTACGAAAAGTCTCATACATATCTCTGTTTTGCTCATCTTTCGGGATTCTCTAAAGCTTGAGGAAAAGGTGTACTAGTTTATACTCAGACAAGGCGAAACTTACGCTTAGGAAGAACTTATCGTCGTTAGGAACAGCTGCTGTACAACTACATCTTTCTCCTTTTCTTCCTTCGACGATGCAGAGGCTGTCTTTTGTGAATCTCAACCTCTTTACACTTCTCAACAATCGCACTTGCATTTTCTTTGGGTTGACCACTGTTTGAGAGGGTATTTCCCTGAACTTTGTGCCTCCAGCTTACTGATTGCGGTTGCAATCTGCCCCATTTGATTCTCTAAACTTTGAACACTAGCTCTCGTCTCCTGTTGAAATTGCAAAGTGTTAGTAGCGAGACTTAACAATTACTTCTAAGACATACCAGAATTAGCAGTTTGGTCCGATTGTTGTCTAGGGGGTATGGCGCTTGTACGCTGGTAATTTGGGCGGTTTTGAGGGTAGGATGACTCATTTGTTGATTTCCATAGCCAAGATTAGGGTGATCCCTCCATCCAGGGTTATATGTGCTCGAATAAGGATCATGCTTCCTTTGCGTTTGTCCAGGGAAACCACCTGCTGCATTCACTTGCTCAACAGGCTCCTCTTGAAGAGTTGGGCACATGTCGTTGGATGCCCTACTACCGAACAGATCCCGCAAGCCTTCACTGTTTGCATGTTACCTACAGCCATTTGACGAACAAGAGAAGTTAGACTAGAGATTTGTTGTTCTAGGAAGAAATATTTACCTCATTATCACGCCTAAATGGAAGGTCGCCTACTGCCAAACTGTTGAGAATTGGCTGCCAATTTGCAATTAAAGTTCTGCGCGCTCGGAGTCTTATCCACCAACGCTCCTCCACTTGCAGCATCAATCATGCTCCTATCAGTATATGTAAGGCCCTCATAGAAATATTGGATAAGTAACTGCTCACTAATCTGATGATGGGGGCACTTGCACACAATTTCTTAAAACGCTCCCAGTTTTCATGTAAGGACTCTCCGTTGTGCTGCCTTATACACACTTTCTTTTCGAATGTTTGCTGCCCTCGAAGCTGGGAAGTATTTCTCCAAAAATAATCTCTTCATCTCGTTCCATGTGGTTATAGTTCCAAGGGTAGATAATAGAGCCAATCCTTAGCCGCATCCTTCAAAGAAACGGGAAGGCTCTTAATTTGATTTGCTCCTCGTCACCCCCGTAGGTTTCATCTCGTGCAAACAACATGAAGCTCCTTTAGATGCTTGTGAGATCTTCACCTGCAAGACCATGGAAAAGTGGGCAAGAGATGTATTAGTCCAATTTCAATTCAAAAGTATAGCAGCATCTAAAACAGGAAAAGTATGCATAAGGTGCTTGATTCAAATCAGGCAGCAGGCTCTTTCAAAGTCCGATTTCCAGCCATGACGTCTTCCTCTTCTAAATCAGAATTGCTTTCCAAAATCTCTCCGAACTCCTTTCTTAACTGCGCAAAGTGGTCTCTATTTCCGGATCGAATATTAAATCACCAAGATGAGAGGACCTGGTCATAAAACAAAAAATCCCATAAAGAAAAAGGGAAAATAATGAAAACCGACTAAAAAAATAAATAAAAATAAAAATAAAAATTGACCAACACAAAACACCAAAAACCCTATCAACAACGTTTTTTGGCCTCGAGAGGGTGGGGCTAGTGAATCCTTAACGGATTAGGGTTTAGGGTTAGGGTTTAGGGTTTAGGGTTTAGGGTTTAGGGTTGTGCGAATTTCGTTTTCTTCGAAACGGGTACTCGCACCGCTCCTAATTCCACCAAATTCCTGCCGTGAACAGTACTACCAAAAAAAAAATTTTTTTCGGGAAAAAAAATAAAAATACAAAACAAGATAAAAATCACAACAAACACAAAACAAAAAAAAATCAACTAGAATCACTCCCCAGCAACGGCGCCAAAATCTGGCGTGCTGTCGTAGGCACCCAGAATTAAAACCTTCCGAACCTAACTACTGAACTGTAAATGGGTAAGCAGGGTCGATCCCACGAAGAGTGTCTACCCGAATTTTCTTTGTGTGAAAACGCTGGGGGTTTGTGTAAACAAAACATTCAGTAAAAGCAAAAACAATTTAATTCGAATTCAATCAAAGACGAACTTGGTCTCTGTCACATCCACACTCGAATCTCATAATGTCATTGATGCAAAAAATCAATTCACATATTGAATATTCACCGTTGAAAATAATTTCCTATCTCTCCTTAATTGTAATTAATCAGGAAACAAGCGATCCTAATTAATCTTACCCCTAAACAACCCTAGACAAGCGCTCAAGATTTAATCTAGTGCAGCCTTAAGAATTAGAGAGATCGACGAACTAAACAACACAACACAAGCAGTTGTATTTATTTAGTTGAATGTTCTTCGTAAGGTTACTAATTTCCTGACGCAGCAAATTACTACCCCAGTTGCTTCCACGTTGGAGGATCAACAATTACGGATTTGATATCAACTTAGCAGTAGATTTTAACAAATAATACACTAGTAGGCCTCCTAGTAATTAAATGCATCAATCATAAAATATGCACAGAATAACATTCAATACTCAAACATGAATTTAACACTAAAAACAGAAAGATCTCACGTTTATTTGATTCCGAGGTTTCCGTTTCCTTCGACCAAGTTACAAAAGTTCTAGCCGCTCATGGCCATCACAAAAACTCAAGTGAAAGAAAATTTCAGAGAAGAGAAAGAGAGAGGCGTGGTCCCCACAACCTACCTGATCTCCTTTTAAAATCTAATTTAAGAATTCAAATCCCACTCAATCTCCTAAAAGAAATATTCTCCTATACTAAATAACATTAATCCTAATTTAATCTAATTGAAATAAATAAAATAGAGTCCTAATAAAATAGGAAGGTGGTGTTTCCAGCTGTAATTTTCGTGCAGCATGTATGTCTTCAAAACGTGCAATAAAAGACTGACTTGCATAACAAGTCAGAACGCTCCAGGACGTCGGTAATCAGGTGCGTCAACTTCAAGCTCAATTACAACCTTGATTCAGTCATTACTCTAAAAACTCAAAACATGAAAGTTGTAGATCTCTTTCTTAGCGTTCCACCGAACTTTGAATCATACTCAAATCGGATGCTCGGATGAGAGAATTATGCCCAGAATACGAAGCAGTGGCGAAACTGTCCGAATTCCCCTAATTAATTTCGTTTTTCAATTAACACCTCCATTTGCTTCCTAAACCAAAATAAAGTAATAATGAGTACAATTAGGAAACAAATACATATAAAAGATTAAACATTAAGGGGGTTAAATATGACATTTTGCATTCCCATTAGTACTTGAACATGAATTTATTCCTATTTTAACCTTCTGTCATACCTATGCATGTGGAGGACATTTTGGACCACAGAGGACAGCTTTTAAGGTATTTGAATTCGTTTTTTATTGGCCATTATTTTTCAAGGATGCCTACAGGTTCTGTAAGTCATGTGATAATTGCCAAAGAATAGGAAACATTTCTCATACAGATCAAATGCACAATCTCCTATATTAATTGTTGAAATTTTTTATGTCTGGGGCATTGATTTTATGGGTCCATTTCCTGTTTCCTTTGGTAATGTTTATATTCTTTTAGCTCTTGATTATGTTTCCAAATGGGTGGAGGCGAAAGCCACCAGAATTGACACTTCAAAGGTTGTTGCAAATTTTATTGAAACTAACATTTTTGTCAGGTTTGGGATACCAAGGGCCATAATCAATGATAAGGGCAGTCATTTTTGCAACAGGACAATGGAGGTGTCAAGCCGAGGTGTCAAACAGAGAGATCAAGTCAATTCTGGAAAAGACAGTGAACCCAAGTTGGAAGGATTGGTCTTTGAGATTAGATGATGCATTATGGGCTTACAGAACAGCATATAAGACACCTATTGGCATGTCCCCATACAGATTAGTGTTTGGTAAGCCATGTCATCTTCCAGTTGAATTAAAGCACAAGGCCTATTAGGCAATCAAGCATTGCAATATGGAAATGAAGGAAGTTGGCGTTAACAGAAAGTTGCAATTGCAAGAACTTGAGGAGTTGAGGAATGATGCTTACGAGAGTTCACACATCTACAAAGCAAAGACTAAAGCCTTTCATGACAAGATGATCTCTTGGAAGAATTTCTCTCTTGGACAAAGAGTCCTTCTTTTTCATTCAAGGCTGAAGTTATTTCTAGGTAAGTTATGTTCTCGTTGGGTGGGACCTTTTATTATGACCAATGTTTTTCACCATGGTGCAGTAGAAATCCAAAGTTTGACAACAAACAAGGTGTTTTATTGTGACTAATGTTTTTCATCATGGTGCAGTAGAAATCCAAAGTTTGACAACAAGCAAGGTGTTTAGGGTCAATGGTTATAGGCTTAAGCCTTACTATGAAGGGTTCCAAGTTTGCAATATTGAGGAGGTGGGATTGGAGGTGTTGATACAATGAGTCGGGCTAACGACTTTAACTAAAGGCACTGCTTGGGAGGCAACCCAAGAATTCAGATTTGATTTTCTTTTCCTTTGAATTTAGTTTTTTATTATTATTATTTTGCCATTTTTTTATTTGTTTTATTTGCTTGTCTCTACATTTGGGTTTTACATTGGGGACAATGTAAGTTTTAAGTATGGCGGAGAAATTAGGTTTTGGTGTATGTTTATGTTAAAAAAAAAAAAAAAAGTTATTGTTTTTAGGAAGGTTTATGCTTTAAGTCATGTCTTTGAACGTCTAGTGATGCATGAAATAGTACCTTGACTTTATTATTGAGCATATTCCTTGATTTAGGATGTTAGCAATATCTCATAAAATAGAGTTAATCAGATTTGAATCTTTGTAGTTTTGAAACAACATGTCTTGATAAGTTGTGTGAACTTGGTGACGAAGCATGATTGAGGAGTGTACAACAACCCTTAAAAAAAAAAAAAAAGAATTGTTTCTCTTAAGCTAGTCCTAAATTTGGGCTTAAGTAAATAGGAAAAAAAAAAAAAAGGGGGTATGTGATGGGTCGAGATGGAGCGTAAAACGCACTCACTCATAAACACAACCATGAAATGAGATGGAGCATAAAATGCACTCATTTGTTCAAAACAGAGAAAAAAAAAAAAAAAACAGAAAAAAAAGAGAAGAAAAAAATTTCTAGTTTGCTACCCAGTTTGTAGTAGTAAAGAGACATAATTGAGGAAAAAGTTGAGAGGGGAGTTGTACATGAATTGGTTGTGATTAGTTTCCTTGTTTGCATTAACTGATTGAGACTAATTGTGGAAAATGATGAAGAGAGATGAATGTCCTTTAACTCTACTTTATTTTATTTTGCTGCTTCCTAAGTTAGGTATGAATATGCATGGATTAAATATTGTTGCTTATGCATCATGATGGTGTTCTTGATATGACTTGAGTGTAGTTTGTTCTAGTGTTTGAATTAGTTTGCCCGAGGACAGGCAAAAGCTAAGTGTGGGGGGATTTGATAAGAGTGTAATTTATATATTTTTATTCCTTCCATATTATGTTTTATGACTAGTTGAGTTGATTAGAGTTTATTTTGTAAGTTTGGCATATTTGGATAGACTTTATGAAATAAGTGAGAAAAGATTAGGAAATTCTAGATTTTTGTTATTCTGACCAGTGCTGCGTTTTTTAGGTTTTCCATGGAGTTAGATTTCTTGATTGTAAAGTGTTCTTCAAAAAAAAGTAAAGTAGACAAATCAAGCTTTCCAAGAAGGTATTATGGGCAAGAATCCGAGTTCGTTTGGGTCCTCATTAGTTGTTGGAAAACTGGACCTGGAATCCTACTCGCAGAAGGATTCCTGGCTGAGTGCTGAGTCTTCGAATGGGCCTAACTAGAGTTGCAGATATCGAAAGCAGGTGATTCAAAAGCCTAGATTCATCTACACATCTGGGACTACAATTTTATGAAGTGACCAAGCTCAGAAGAGTTCTTGTACATTGCGAGAATCCTGGTGCAACCTAGAGACGAATTCTGTTTTCCATATCTGATAAGATTTTGACACATTTTGGAAGTCTATCTTTTAGAAAAGATCTAGGAAAGTAATTTCCGTGATTCCTCGGGTAGAATTAAGGAAAACACATGTTATTTATTGATGAGTTGTTAGGTTAAAAAGGGGGGAAGAGAACAGCAATGGAGTTTTAGTTTTTATTTCGGTTTTCTTTTACTTTCTACGTCAAGATGTGCGGCTGATCTTTCTTCTTCAGTTCAAGGGGATTTTGAAGCCTGAATTCATGTCATTGGTGTAACTTAACTTCAGTAACATTGTTCTCAATCTCGTTTTTACTAGAATTGTTTATGTTATTCTGTTTTAATTGTTTATAATTTTCTGTTTGGGTGATTTAGTAATGGCTTGCTGAATTGTTTAATCGGAATCTCATCTGTTAGAATTAGGAAGTGTGATACATAATTGTCCTCTTTCTATTCAATGAGTAACACATGATGATAGATGATACAGACAAGTTTTCAGTCTGTCACCTTAAATAACATAACCTAAGTTAAATAATCCGTTCTTGCATGATTGTTGCTTGGATTGATCTATTTTCCTAATTCTTAAGGCTGCCATTTAATTGAACTTAGAGAGTTTATTATAGGTTGTTCAAGGGTTAGGATCTAGTTGAAGAGCTTATTTCAGTACTAACAATTAAGGGAAAATTCGGGTAACAGAGCTTGTTGTTTCCTAGGGTCAATAATTCCACAATAACGAGATAGAATAATGTTACAGTTAGTATGTCCAATGCATGTTTAGGTGGATCTTGAACCAAGAACTGGTGTTTTTAATCTAATATTTTCTACCATTATTTGTTTTCAGTTTAGATTGCATTGATCACACCCCCTTTCATTACTCTGTTGTCCTGTTTACTGTTTAGGGTTTTATTGTATTTTTTTGTTGTTTTCATTGTGGCTATTGGCATAGAATATAGGATTTAATCGAATCATTCCCTGAGGGATCGACCCTTGCTCACCCTATATATAATTTAGTAGTTAGGTTAGTAAGGTTAATTAATTTGGTGCATTCAGCACGCTACCAGCTACATCGAGAAGAGTACGAGACTATGGTGGATCAACAGAGAATTCATCACTCCCGGGTACAGGAGAAATTATCTCACTAAGTAATTTAGAAGATGGTAACGACATTAAATCTACGTCCACAATGGGATTAAGTTGTAGCTTATTCCAATCTATTCCGGTCATTGGTCCAATAACCAAATGTCGAAATATCAAGGATATCCGAGGTTGACACTACTTATGTGACAATTGATGATGAAAGGATTGAATTGCACGATAACCATATCGTTGATAGGTAGTGGTCTCGCTCAATCAAAATCTATCAGGTTTCCATGATGCCTAGCTAGAGGCCAATCTTGGTCTATGTCGAGTAGGATGATTGATTGATTGATTATCAATCATGATACTATTCACTACTGATACGATGAGGAGCCTTCAAGCTGCACACAGAGAAGACAAATTAAGAACATAATTCGTGAGAGGGGTATTTTTGTCATTTATGATGAAAGGGTATTTTTGTCATTTATGATGAAAGGGCATTTTTGTCATTTATGATGAAAGGGCATTTTTGTAATCTCACAGTGTAATTAAATTTGTTGAGGTGGTTGCCTAAATTCAATTTCATATGGAAATTAAATTAGTGAGATTATGTATGTCTAAATATTTTAATATATATACATATTTTAATTCAAATATAATGGATATTATCTAATATTAATATTGATAATATGAAATTCAAACTTGGTTTTTAATTTTGAATTGAATTGAATTTTAATATAATGGATATTATCTAATATTAATATTTGTAATATGAAATTCAAATTTTGATTTTTAAATTTGAATTGAAATGCCATGTTTGGGTTGCAAGGGGGATATATTCCTTTGTGGAATAAGTTGTTTTCTATTCCAATTGGAATATATGGCTATTCCAAGTCGGAATAGGATTTTAGTGTGCACCATTTAAGTGCAACTAAAAATTAAATCATTTAATGATTGAGTTGCAAAATTGAAACCTTAGCCACCCTTCTCTCTCTCTCTCTAAAAAACGCCACCCGTTTTGTGAGGAAAAGAATTTTTCTTTACAAGAAAAATTATGCTGTGTTGTGTTCTTGGTGTTAAGTGATCTTCCTAGCCTAGAAGTCTCTCAACGACAGTAGTCCTTTCTTCATGTGGATACCGGGAGTACATGTAATGACTCTCTTTGGCTAGTATACTCATAAAATAAACAGTAAAACTCACTAAATATAAATATTACAAAAATATACATGTAGATGAGTATAAAATAATGGGCCCAATTTTTCTTTATATTTACCAAACTATACATAATGTAAATAAATTTCTTAAGAAGCTCGACAGTGTTGCCCGACCCTTCCGCATCTTGACATTCCAGGGACCACATCTCATCTACTACTTGCAAAAACATTGAAAACAACGGGATGAGCACTAATTACTCAGTAAGTAAACCCACTATGCTACCCTTCTATTTCCGTTGCTCATATTCTGAATTCTTTCCTTACATCACACTTCTCTCTTCTTCTCTGTTCTTTTCTATTCTTTCCCTATTCTTTTTCTGTTCTGTCTCTCTGTTCTTTCTCTATTCTTTTTCTGTTCTTTCTTTATTCTTTTTCTGCTTTTTCTCTCAGTTCTTTCTCTATTCTTGTTTTTCACTTACTAACATGTTAGCACAGTTAGAGAAACTAATTCTAAATAATATGAATGCCATGATGCATGTGCATAAATGCATAAAGAATGCAATTTCTTTTCTGTTTTCTGTTTCCCTTCTTTCTTTCTATTCTGTTCTTTCTTTTTGTGTTCTATTCTTTCTTTCTTTCTTTATTTCTTTCTATTCTGTTCTTTCTTTCTGTGTTCTATTCTTTCTTTCTTTCTTTCTATTCTTTCTTTATTTCTTTCTATTATGTTCTTTCTTTCTTTCTATTCTTCTCTTCTTTTGTTCTATTCTTTCTTTCTTTCTATTCTTTCTTTATTTCTTTCTATTATGTTCTTTCTTTCTGTGTTTTATTCTTTCTTTCTTTCTTTCTGTTTTGTTCTTTCTTTCTGTGTTCTACTCTTTCTGTTCTTTCTATTATTTCTTTCTATGCTGATTGGACTCGGTTGACGCATGGATTCAGAACCCTGGCCATGTGAGTGGGTACAGTCCTTATCTACATGCACTTCAATCGGACTGTACAACTCTTCTTTTTGATTCCGAGGTCACTCACTAAAGGCGGCATGCATGTAGGTAAATTTTGTTGGTACAGTTCTCATCCACATACACTTCTAACAAATTGTGCACTTACTTCTTTCTGATTCCGAGGCTGCTCACTGAAGGAGGGTCCTTCGATTTGATGTTGGTTTGCGAATCCAACATTAAATTAAAGGAGCCTCCAACGCAAGGATGATATATTATATTTGGTTTGATGTTTTTATATTAAATAAT